AATATATTATATATATATATATAATATATATATCTATATAATATATATATATATATATATATATATATATATATATATATATACTTTTCTAAACACTCTTTGGACAACTTCTGCATGTACACTTCGTAGTTATATACTCAGTGCACCACAAATAATCAACTTCTTTGTAGTAAGCCGGCATTCACATTGCTATCTATCGTCATTTTTTGTAGTGGCATGGTATCCGCTACACATTTGCAATAAATATTGCAGTGGCTAACGAAAATAGAGATTTATGTCTGAAGTGGGTATGCGCCATAGCTAATAGGTGATGAAGAACAAGCTTTTTTGTTGTGGGTCTTGAGCATTGGACAACCTACTCGCTCCACAATTCGCATTGTGTGATGCCTGGTTGTTACTTTGTAGTTCCAAAGCGCTTTATTGCTCATACAAACGCGTTTCTTTTCCCGAGATCAAGCCAGCCTAAGGCGTGATTCGCGACATAGCTTCAAGCACCGGCGTGACTCAGTGGTAGAATGCTGGGCTAGCACGCAGCGTACCCAGGTTAGAACCTAATGTGTTTTTAACGTTTTATTTTACTGAGGTTTTTCTTATTTTTCCAATATTTGTTACGGGCACCGGTGGCGGTGGCGGCGGACAACTACGACGGCGCACGTGACCCGTGTTGTGATTTCGTAAGAGCTTTCGCTGTAAAATGACGTGGCATTTCAGATCGAGTTTCAAATAATCAGCCACATTAGCACCTCTGTCGAAGATGAAGTGCGGCCGCATTTCAGCTGAGGTCCAATGCATTAATCCCATGTACGTTGACCTATGTGCACGCTGAAGAACGCTAGTTAAGGATGTTGATAATGATGAAAACTTTAATCAAGATCGGAGAACGCACAGGGGAACCTACACGGCACCCGATTAGCCACACGCACCTATTGCCAAACCTGGCTTAGCGGCCCGTTCGAGGACACTCTGGACCACCAGGGGTTCGGTCATTGGTCACAATTTTCGGAGCCATTTACTATGGCGTACTTTTGAGCAATCTTACTTGGAGACAAAATCTCAACCAGTGTTATTATTAATTATTTTTTGCAATCCTGTTTTGTAATTCAAATTCGAGGCTATCCTGTGTTGTCCTCAGAACGCATTTCATAAATCATGTCCATTGATTTCACGCTGGCTTGAATTTCAAGCCATTGACTGCTGGCAGAGTGCTCCACAAAAGTAGGAATAAGGGTTTCAATCTTTCAAAATGTACAATGTACCTATGCTCACTTTATTAAAGCATAAGTGTAAAAAATGTATGACGTTTAGAAAACGCTGATTATAAACTTATAAGTGAATTCTCGCAGCGTCTCGTATCCTGGTTGAAAAACACCAATCTTAAATACTACCTTACCAGTGGACTAATTATCGGACTGTTTCAAAGTTTAGTCTCTTATAATCCTTTTATGCACGCGTTCTTGATCAGAGAAATGTTATGTAGAAAATGGAACATGAGGCAGGGTACGTGTTCGCACGATATTCGAGGTAGTAGAGATGTCATTTACTTAGTATTCTAGTAATGATCGCTACGAAGCAGTATAAAAATTGTAAAAGGTTCGATTTCATATATTTTCAAGCAGTCCTGTCTGAAACGGCGACTTCTAAAAACCAATATTGATATCTATTACGTCGAAACTTCTGCCCTTATGAAGTTTGTCATACTTAAAGACAAAGGTATTTTTAATACACTTCTTGGCAGACACAGCATCATAAGTGTAGCCTACTTATAATGAAGACATGATGCCTGTTATACTTGTATGGTACGATATAGATATGCACGCTTTTTCTGAACAGAAATTTTGCCCTTTAACAGTTTAGCGTTCCCTCTAATTTCATCATCTTACTTCAGAGTTCAGATCTTCATCCTCAGCAAGTGTCTGTGCCACATCACGAAGAACTTCACTGAGATGAACGGCCTCTTCAGCTGCGCTGCTGAACACAGTAGGAGCTGTTGAGTCCTCCTCAGTAGCCGTTTGGCCGTTCACTGAAAACAACGTGCAGATGTGCATCATTGTTCGGGCCCCATTTTTGTTGTTATCTAAAAGTTCATCGCCTCAGTATCTTTATTTTTAAGTAGGATAGTTCCCAGTGCCTCGCTCAGAGAAAAATTCATGAGCAGGCAGTGGCCTGTGGAGAACACTGCATCGTAACTGGATTATGCAGATGACACATCGCAATCACACATAGACATCGACGTAAAAATTGCAGCTGGCAATGTCTAGAAGTGTATTTGTTGTTTTTAACGGACATAACATTCATATAGCGCTCAACAGTAATGTGAGAACAGAAGTTTTTTTTTGATAGCTAAAAGGCTTCATTATTCACCATTATATTATAAAGTCGACAGTATACTGCTCAGGTTAATGAAAAAAAAACACCTTCAAAATGAGTAAGCACGCGCGCGCTACACAAGACATTCGAACCATGAATAACGTGCAGAAATGTTAAACATTACGTAGTGCCAAGTTTGAACCTTTACTTACAGCACAAAAGCTTTGGATGAAGCGTGGGCGAGTGTAGTTGTCAACGAAATACAAATAATGTGTAAGTTGTAATTGAATATAGTTTATAAAGGCGATTGCATTATTCACACTCGTATAGCATTTAAGGTGTTGTGTTTGTCGGGAACTACAATAAATTGGTTCTCGTACATACCGGAAAAAGCGATGAGCGCCAACACACAAATTCCGGTGATTGTCTGCCTCATGGTCTGAAAAAGAAGTGAAATCATTAATTTTTTAGATATTCATAACAGTTATCTATGAATACATAGCAGAACTTGAGTACCTTCACGGAATTCTTCAGTTAACCTTATCAAGGCGATTACATCTAATGTTAGGAAGTAAATATGTACAGAAAAGGTTTATTGCAAGAGGCTTCGCAAATTTTCAGAGATAGCTTTTATATATCTCCCATTATTATGGTCAACTTTGTATGACTAAACTGGTCTTCTCGTTCATCCGACTGATAATTCTGACACGTGCAATGCAAGCATATCCATGACACACAATGTTCACAAAAACGTTTTTTTTTTAATTTAGAGAAAGATTCATATAAGGGAGTCACAGGATTTGCACAGAATAACCGTCATCGAACCTTTCATTAGCTAAAGATTCCACATACGTCATTCATGTGTCAAGTAAGTTTTTATTTTTGAGTCAGCGCTTGCGTGCGTACACCTCTCCATCCTTTTATTCTCGCTTCGCTTTTCGGTACGAGGCTTGAAAACAAAATAGCCACCTACAAGCATTACCAATCACGTTTTTTCCCTTTTATTTACATTCGCTGCAGCTCGTTTCACTAGTGCGCCCTTAGGGCTTTAAAAAAAACAGTGCCGTTCATACCATGTCGATGACTGTACGAAGCATTTACTACCAAATTATATAAATTTAATAAGCTACTACACTACGAAATGTTTTATTTCATAGAAGACAGTGTCATAGATTCAGCTATGAACATTAGGGAGCTGCACTATCTAAGGCTTTTTAGACATTATTTGTTCTAAGCACCTTTACAAGCGTCCAGCATTCACCTCACGCGTGTTTCATTTGATTCTATTCGATTCATTTTTTCATTTCTCGTTAACTGGTGAACTTGTTGTACGCCACTGTGAGCCCTGTAAAGCTAGTATGGTGACATTTTCCAAGATTTGTCAGTTGAACCATAAACTGCCACAAATTTTATAAACTTCATATTCAACATCAGTATCATACGCACTCTGCAGAAATACACAGCACCGTGATTCTTAATTCACTTACCAAGTCTCAAGTAGCCTCAGGCGAGCTTCCAGAAATATTTCGAGCTCAATTCTGTGTATCACATGCTGAAAACATCGCTTTTATAGCTTCTAATCTAGATGACCTATATTCTTTATCGCTCACAGGTGTGCTTCTTTGCAAAGGTCAATGGTAGAAAATTAGCTAACAGACAAATGCGTAGATGCCATTCCTGTTGAGATGGGAATGGACATTGTCCATTGTACTGAGAGGTTAAACGCCCTTCAATCTGAAGATGCTGTCACGCTGCAAGGAAGATCTCAGCCGTTGCCTAGATTAGAAATGATGACTCCTGGTATTCAAGATTCACGACACAATAGTATACTGATTAGTTTTAAGCAAATTCTGCCCAATATACTCAGGTGCGGGTAAATGTGTGCTTGCGTAGTAGCTGATATGAATAAAGCTATCACATAGCATGATTGCAACAAATTCGAAGTACAAAAACAAAAAAAGTACTATCAGGTGTGAAAAAAGGCAAAATTAGATTTCGCAAATTATTAGCATATGCACGTTAATTTGATGCGCGAGATTAGTAATCAAATGAACAATTAATTATTATGCTAGAGGAGCAAGGGCATAAGATGAGGTGTGATGGCGCTTCCACGTAGTTTATTTGCACTCACATTCATTGAGAGCTCTAAAATGAGACTGATCGTTAAAAAATCCCCATGGTTTAATTCCGTATTTCCCGTGAGGTTTCTGCGCAGGCCCGCACAATCCAGAAACAGCATGCACGTTGCAACAAAAGTTTGATTGGCATTTCTAAATTTTGCCTGAAAGGTAGCGCAGGGCGTTTGGCCTAAAATTGCATGTAAAAACGTGCCATATTACGTGGTGAAGCTAGCCATCGCTTAAGGCAAGATACCAGATGATTCGCACAATAAATGAGTGCGTCAAAGGCTTACAGGTCAGAATGTACTGACATATTCAATCATGATCAGCTTCGAAAAGTTCAACAAGGGAGGAAGTTGCGTTAGTTAGCGTGTTGCTTTGTGGACGCGTGATAGGCCCTTCACCAATCCGCAACAAGAATTACGGCGTATTGGGCATCTAACAACTGTACTTTAAGTAGGCATTCTAGGATAATTTGGAACGGCCAAGGTTACGTACCGAGTGGATCTCTCCCTAGTGGCATGGTTGGCGAAAGCACTGAAGTCCAAAGCAGGCTAGCAATGGGGAAGGCATTGGGCACGGGTTGTGATTTCGTTATCGCATTCTATTCTTGAAGTTGAAGCTCAAGCGTTCTTCAACCTTTGTAGTCGATGATAGCTTTCGTGGTCGCCTAAAAAATGGCAGCATATCCACGGAGTGAATGATGGAGAATGAGGCGAAGCATCCGTCCGTGCGTTCGTTCTTGCTTCCGTCCATCCATGCGTAAGTCTGTGTGATTGTCCGTGCGTCTATTCGCCCGTCCGTGCGTGCGTCTATTCATGCGTCCGCACGTCCATCTGTGCGTCCATCCCTGCGTTCGTCCATGCATCCGCCCCTGCGTCATTCCATGCACCCATCCGTCGGTGCAGCCATCCGTTAGTACGTCCATGCATCTGTCTGTGTGTCCGTTTGTCCATCTATTCAACACTCCAAGTACCACCATCTCACATCTTTTCATCATATATTCCGCATATGCACCGCCATCCAGCGGACATTCCAAGGACTAAGCGAGAGGTGGCACACGCACACTTTCTTACAGCTTGTGCTTCGTCTCTACTTCTCACCTTTAACCACCTTCAATTCATGGCATATACTAGTTCACTGTATTCAAGGCACTGCGGCCCAACGCTCGCTAAACCTTTCTAAAACCAAGGAGGTTATGCCCAGCGAGTATAACGTAGCAACCCTTTCTTGTCAGCTAGTAGTCAATGTACATGCCAATTGCTGCTAAGGTGGAATGAGAGACAGGAGAATTCGGCTTTTAGTTAACGCGCATGCTGCGATTTTTTTTATTGTTCAACAACGCACAGAAGAAATCTCTCACCGGCACCACCTTGGAGGCCAAAATGTAAGACTGGTTACACACTACGACTACTACTACGACTACGAACGACGAACGGGTGCCGCTATAAGGAGCTTCGCCCCTGAAGTGGCTATGCGGCGTAACCCCTGCTGTCCGCGGACCTCCATTTTTAAACATGTTTAAGGCATCATGCGACAGCGACGCAGCCAAGGGGCACGTTAGGGGGGTTCAATCTTTCCCTTAATCTTTACGTGCACCCTCCATTCCCCTCCAGCCACTTACCCATGTTTTTTTTTTTTCGTCTATTTGCGCTTACATGTATTAGAAACTAAATATGTGGTGCTGCTATCACAATATCATTCCTGGGGGCTCCTGCAGTGAATTATGTTTGCATACAGAAAAAAAAAGTGTCACGGTGTTTGCCAAAGCTGTGGCACTCTGTGAGATTTTAGGCGCGAGTCTCGGCCGTGAGCGTTTCAAGTTGACTTGATGACCGGTTTAATGCTGCAGGAGTGGTCATACGTGTACCCGCAAGACCAGATCTCGCAAGTCGATCACTGCAATAATTTTCACTACGCAGAGGTTAGTTTTCATGATGACAGCCCGACTAACTTCTAAGGCCTGATAGGCGACTACTATCATTTTCACGACGCAGATGTTCGTTTTGATGGTGAAAGCCAGACTAAGTTCCAAGGCCTGATACATCACGTTCACGCATAATACAGTGTGACTCTTCAAAGGTGTTCTAAAATATACTCCAGTCAGAAGCCAACCTTTCTACTGAACCTCCGCACGTTGCGACAACATCCAAGCACACACACACACACACACACACACACACATACACACACAAACACACTCACACACGCACAGACGCACAAACACACAAACACATACACACACAAACACACTCACACACAACTCACAAACACACACACTCACACGCACACCCTCACACACATACACGCACGCACACATGCCCACACACACTCAAACACATACACACACACATATTGTTATTGTTATTTTAAACTCGAAGGGTACTATAAGACCATGCACTGGAACATCGCGGCACAAATACGTGATCTCCAGCAAAGAGCGGTATTTCACGGCTTATTATCGTGAATTGGGTGCTGCTCTACGTCTGCGGTAGACGATTTCGTAAATAATGTCCCTGTGCCTCTAACAGCAAACAGAAATAACTGATCAGTCCGTGATTCATATAAACGAGGCTCTTTCATCAGTTATAGTAATCACTCAGCTTTTATATCGAAGATATAATTCAATTTTTTCTTTAAAGTACGTTCGTTGACACTGTGCAGTTAATGAAGGTAAATTTAAAGTAATTATCAATTTGTAGTTGACTGCGTTTCCTCGATCGCGTCTTCATGAACATCACTTTTATCTTAGCCACGTGTTACAGCGCAGCGTATGAATTCTCAAAGTCTGAGCAATATTGACTTTAACGCTACAGCGTTAACGAGCTTGTTTCGCAGATATTACGGTGTCGGCGTCAGCATCGTTTGCTGTGAGCGAAAAATCATCATCCTATGCGTGACTGATTATTAAAAAACGATTCAAATAAAATAAACACCAGAGTGGAGACCAAACCAGTGTTGTTGAGGTCCAAGTGGAGAGGGAAATCACGTCGTTTGGATTGCAAGCGAACGTTCAACCACACGGTAGCGCCTCTGTTTGTAAAAAAAAAAAAATTATTAAGCTTGGAAATGCAATGAAAGTAGTTTTCCTGCTTCAAAAACACACGCGTCTTGTATATATGCTTCACAATGCAACAAAAAGTATTGCAGTAATTATGCGTGGTCCAGCGTCCATTGCCAACGGGTGTCAAAATATGCGATTATCACAATAGGGAGTTTTAGTGCTGGGTACGCATTCTCTTGCGGCGTTGCGTGCCCAACCCATACCCAACCGGAATGCCTTTTAGTTGGCGCCACGGTGGCACGCACGCAAACGCAAGCCGCACGAAGTTTACACGCACTCGCAGCGCCTTAGCGTCTTGTCGTGTAAGTGTTATTTAAGCCTTTTTATGATTTAAAATGTTGAATTAAACGTACATAGTGGTCAGGACACTTTTTTGTGTGTACAGTAGTCTGGCATACGCAAAAAAGTGAAAAATACAAGGTTACTGTAACAACAGTGTGGACATCTTGTGATACTTCGTGCAACCACAGTCATGAACATGTTAGCTTAGGCGTAATGTTTTGAGGTGAAAATGAATAAAAACTTTACTCATTTGTAATATTGTCGCTGCGCAGTTTTTGCACTAGATGTACAATGCACAATGTTTCTGCAATAACGAAGTTGTGGTTGTCTGTTTCACTATGGCCGCGCTAGATGGCGCCACCTATTCAGCTGGTCGGGGGCTGCCATATGTTTTTAGTTTCTATGTTTCAGGCCATTCTAGCTTTGGGAATCTAGCTGAAACCGTGTAATCGCTATAAGTGCTTGCACTTTGGCTTATTTTAACTCGACGGCTAGAGTATCTGCAGTGCGGATACCGTAAGTTCTTGCGAAGATGGACCTTACAAGGCAGCCGATCCATGCTGTCCGAGATTTTGCGCCTTTGTGCCATGCTATTTGTATAGTGGCTAGCCACTATAATATTTGCGCTTAAAACCTAAAAGTCAAAGTGGTGGCTTTGGTATGCCTCGGCTTTGCTTGCCGTGAAGGTAACATGATGCGCCAGCATGTGCGCCGGGGCAGCTTATCTCCGCTAGGAGGCCAGTGGTGGCAGCGTTGTTTATGGCCGCGTAGACGCATGACGCCATTCTAGCCACCCAACCCCATCGCCCCAGCGATCTGCCACGCATCTGTTTGGGGTTTCACGCATGCGCAATACCACCGCCCCAACGTCCTCGGTACGCAAGCCGCTTGGGTACCCAGCACTAAAACTCCCTAATGGCTCAGTGGTTGAAAGCTGGTACCCCACTACAGAAGCCACGCATGCTACGCACCCCTTTCTTTAAAGCTACAGTGAGTGCATAGCGAATTCGAAAACGTTTCTTGCACTAAGTCTTTGAAGTACGCACAAGAAAGAGGATTCCGCTACGACGTTCGACTTCTAAAGGCGAAGCTTTATGGTCCTCTAATTTT